GCTAGAAGGAAGAAGAAAATCTTTTTTGTTTTATATTCCTCCTTTCCCCCAATATGGGACCCAAAGCGGTTTACAATATAACAGCATAGCTAAAACCATATATGATACAAAGGTTAACATTGAACAATCAATCCATTTAAAACATTAATTTAAAGACAATAAAATACACATGGTGCCTATTAAAGGGTTGGGGGAAAAACTAGTTTAAAAAAAATTCAAAAGCCTTTTTTTTTGTTTTATTTAAACTGGTGTGTGTGTGTGTTGTTTAAACCAGTATTTTTTGCATTCATGTGTAGGACTACAACAGTATAGGACAGAATCAGAAAATTAAGTAACAAAATGCAGTTCAGATGTTATAGCAACTAGCTTAAATAATAATTGTTCTTTAAAAAGTGCTCTTTTAAAAGCAAGTTTTGAATTTCTGTTAATTGAAGGATTTGTTTCTGAATTGCATTTCTTGTGCTATAAAATAAAGTGAATAAAAAGAAGCAACTGACAATGGATATTGGTCTAACAATGAACAACTGCCAATAAACTGTTGAAAATTAAAATGTTTAAACTCAAGCAGTCATTGTTCTTCCAATAAGAGAGTTGGAAAACAGTAATAATAGTCAATTAAAAAAAACACTCAAGAATGTTTTTTGAAAAAGGAATTTGGTTTAAACCAACCTGTTTTAAACAGCAACCATGGGCTATTTCATGTAAAAAAAAACCCACAGTACACCCCCTTGTACATTCTTTTACCCCTGAAGGCTTGTTTGAATAAGAAGATCTTTGCCTGTGGACAAAAAGAGAACAGAGAGGGGGGAAATTGTGCATTTCTTGGGAGATAATTCCATAGTTTATGAGCAGCTACTGAGAAGGCATTTTCTTCTGCCCTCACTAGATGCACCTGTGAGGGTGCTGGGATGGGAAGAAATACCTCCCGCTTCAGGCAGGCTCAGACGAGGAGACAGGATCTTTCATAGTCTGGACCTAAGTTGTATTTGTAGTCGGCTCGACTCATGGCGACCCTGCAGATGCGACATCTCAACACTCCCTATTCCACTGCTTTGCTTAAGTCTTTAGATTCAGGCTCATGACCTCCCTAACTGAGTCCAGCCAGTGTGGTCTTCCTTTTTTTCTTCTACCCTCAACCTTTCCCATCATTATTATATTTGCTAATGAGTCATGCCTTCTCATGATGTGGCCAAAGTATAACAACCTCAATTTAGTCATCTTGGCTTCTAGGGGTATGTCCGACTTGATCTGTTCAAAGACCCATTTGTTTGTCTTCTTGGCTGTCCACAGTATTCTTAGCACTCTTCTCCAGCATCACATCTCAAATGAGTTTATTTTCTTTTTATCCACTTTCTCCACTGTCCAGATCTCATATCCTTATATGGTGATGGGGAATACCATGGCTTGGACAATTCTAACTTTAGTACTGAACTTTACTCTTTAGGATTTTCTCTAGCTCTTTCATGGGGCCCTTTCCCATTACTAGTCTTCTCTTTATTTCTTGACTGCAGTCTCTGTTCTTGAACGATGTTTGATCCCAGGTATGAGAAATCTGTAACTATTTCAATTTCCTCATTGTCTAATTTGAATTTATGTAGGTCCTCTGTGGTCATTATTTTTGTTTTATGTTCAGCAGCAAGCCTGCCTTTGCACTTTCTTCCTTGACCTTGCTTAGTAAGTAAGTAAGCCATTCAGGCATTATATATCATAACCAGTAGTTTGAATTGTGCCCAGAAATAGACTAGTAGCCAGTGAGGCTTTTTCATCAAGGGAGTTGTATCCTGTCGTGGTGTAATGGTTTGAATGTTGGACTTCGACTCTGGAGACAAGGGTTTGATATCCCACTCTGCCATGAGATCTGCCAGGTGCCCTTGGACAAGTCTCATGCTCTCAACTTCACGGGAAGGCCATAGCAACCCTCCTCTGAACAAATCTTGCCAAGAAAACTCTATGATAGGTCCTACATAGGGCATCCGTAAGTCAAACAATTTGAGGGCACACTTCAAGAACAACAAAATTATAAAATCTGTCCTATTCACTGAAGGATTGGAGTCTGATCTCATTCTGTCCCACCTCCTACTGAATAAAATGACAGCATATGCAGAGGGGAAGCAGGATGGCGCCAAGTTCCCATTGGATCCAGTATAGGGTTGCCAACTCCTCCTCCCCTCTGTGAAGCTTCTGCCCTTTTCAACAATTTTGTGTCATGTGTATGTTTTCTCATCAGCAGGTTGCTATGCAGAGAAAGAAAAGTGTCACTCTTTATTACAAGCTGTCAAAGGTATGGGAGCCCTTCCAGAAAGTGGAAGGGCAAACAAATTATGGCAGCTATAATCTTGCCCTCTGACATTTGCTGTTTGCTTTAGGCCCAACCCCAAGGATAATACTTTAGAGTTCATACATGGCAGCTTGACAGTTGTAAGTGGAAGTCAAGACAGATTTCGTATACAATTTCTCAGAAAGCAAGCACCAGTCAGTGAGTTGCTAGAAGATAAAGGAGAAGATGAGAAAGTGCTGGATGTTTTTTGTGCCCCAAATAATGGAATTCCTCTCTTTTCAGTCTTCAAAAGGTACTGGTAATGGGGGTTTGGGGGTTGGGGGGGAAGCAATTTTGTACAATCGCAGAGGATGACAACCTATTTGGCAAAATGAAAGCAGAAAGATAAATGTCATGTTGTGTGATGTACTGGGAAGGGCTAGGAAAGAATCCTGCCTCAAATTGTGGAGAGTTGTTGTCAGTAAGTATTGGAGTCAGTGTCACGAAATGGTTTGAGCATTGGACTACAAATCTGGAGACCAGGGTTCAATTCCTGCTCGGCCATGAAACCCACAGTGTGATCTTGGGCAAATTACATGATCTCAGCCTCAACGGAAGGCAATGGCAAATTTCCTCTGAACAAATCTTGCCAAGAAAACTCCATGATAGTTTGCCTTTGGATCACTATAGGTTGGAAATGACTTGAAGGCACACAACACACAAACACACGTTCATAGTACTGAGCAAGATGGACCAATGATCTGACTTCATATAAGATAGTGTCTGTGTGACTTATGCATAAGTGTCTCATAGGGATGATTCTGCCCACCCTAATGAAAAGCAGCTAGCAGAAGATTCCAGATTGGATTGGAGGGATATTGGGAGAGAAAGGAGGTTGATCATTTCCCTGTGGTCCATTTTTCTGCTCAAAATTACGCATCTATGCTATTTTTCTATTCTAGGTTGGGGGTGAGGAAAGAAGAGGCACGGAGGTTTCTGTGTCTTTCTCCTTCCAGATGGAAAAGCAGCTTGAGAAGGGAATTCACTTTTGAAAGATCACTCAAAGAAAAGGGTGAAGCACTTCCCTGCTGTTTCTCTAGTGAAATTCCCAGGCTTCTTTCCACTACAAAAGAAAGAAAAACGGTGGGAAGTTATTTCATGCAGGTTATATATAGTTGCCACAGGGATGGCTCATGAACTGAGCAGGCTGGTGTTGGAACTCTCAACAAAATGGAGGTGAGTGATACAAGAGGCATCCGTTGCTGAAAGATGCGGAAAGGCAGTGCTTTGTTTTCGTTGACTTCCTTCTTCAGCCATATAACCGTAATGCTACATGCTATGTGCCTTCAAGTCATTTCCAACTTATGATGACCGTACCATGGGATTTTGTTGGCAAGATTTGTTCAGAGGAGATTTGCCATTGCCTGAGAGTATGTGACTTGCCTAAGGGAGCTTGCCATTGCCATCCTGTGATGCTGAAAGTATTTGACTTACCTAAGGTCACCCAGGTTTCATGGCCAAGCAGGTATCGAACTCTGGTCTCTAGAATTGTAGCCCAACCTCAAACCACTACGTCACACTGGCTCTCTATGACTATTATATGGGTACAATAAAACTGGTGAAGCCAATGTGGTGTAGTGATTTGGAGAACAGAGTTTGAATCCCTGCTTGGCCATGAAAACCCACTGGGTGACCTTACACCAGGGGTAGGCAACCTAAGGCCCGGGGGGGGATGCAGCCCCCCAAGGCCTTTGGACCGGCCCCAGGCCGGTCCTGCC